TAGAAACCAATGTGCTGAAGGCTGCAAGCCAGAGGCAGGCTGAGGAGGTCATGAGGTATTGAGAAACAAACACACGAATGCTTCTGGTCTTTTCACGGGATTAGTGGTCAATGTCGGCGCTCCTATCCTTTTAAATTTGAGTGAAAAGCAACTTTTTCATCACGAGGGTTTGCGAGGGACAGTTGCCAAACAGCACACTGTGTTTTGGAATTAATTGCTATCACAATTGTGAGTAGGACAGTACAGGGCCATGTGGCAAACAAATGTCTGTGAGGAGTATCTCATGGTCCTCCGTTTCATCACAGTTTTTAATATGCACTTATCTTGCATCTCAGATACTTACTCCTGCAGATACTCTCCTGCATTGATAGTGAGGAGCTACTTACCTTCTAAGTCATCTTGCTCAGTCACTCTGGACTGCGTAGCTCCCCCCAAAATTCAAAAGACACAAGGGTAACACCGCTTGGAACCCCTGGCTATACAACTTCACTAGTACCATTAGACATGCCCGTAGCAGGAAACAGAAAAAAAGACGAGCCCCAAGTCTCATATGAAATTTTAAGAGAGTGCTTAAGGCAATATCAAAGCTCTGTTAAGACAGCTAAGGGTCAACGCTAAGCAGAGCTAATCAATAGAAATTCCCACACACCTACTTGTTAACTCTGTCAATTCTCTTGAATTTTGCTCCTACTTTGGCCAACTCAGCTCGTGCTACTGGAACTCGTGAGAAGTTTCTGAATTTCTTTCTCAATAAAGACAACAACGACATAATTAGACTTTTCCTCTCAATGCTACACCGCTATCCCTGAGAGACACGTCATCCAGTAGGCCGCCTTCAGAAATTTCAACCAGTGTCGCCCTTGCAACTGCCAAAAGTCCTCTTCAAGGACATTTTTGGATATATCTGATTGTTTTCTAATTAAGGCAGGTAATAACAGGCAATTGCACAACCACCACCAAAGAAGTGACCTTACTAACTAGAGATCCATTTTTTTTTAACCTACCATTTATTTCCAAGATTTTGGAAAAATTGTTTTCACTCAGGTGAATACCTTCAACATCCATGAAAAATTCCAGTTTGTTTTTAGATCTCCATGGTACAGAATCTGCTGCAGAAAATCCACAACAACAACCACTTGTCTGGAGATTCAAGTTCACATGCCATTTTCGTTATACTCAATCTCAGCACAGCGTGACTGTGATTGTCTTTTAAAATGCCCGGACTGTGTTGTAGGTCATTAGGGTATAGTGGACCCATTTTAGTTAGAATCACCAACTATTTATCTTAAATGCGGCATCCCCCAAGGTTCTGTTTTAGAGCCCCATTTATTTTCTCTGTACATACTACAACTTGGTTACATTTTCAAAAACCACAATGTCTCATATCACTGTTATGCTGACGACACATAGTTTTACCTACCCATCATACCTGACCATGCTTGTTTGGCAACAAGCCTTTTTAGCTGTCTAGATGAAAACCCATGCCGGATGACAGGAAATTTCATTCAACTTAAGGAAAATAAAACTGAAATAATCTTAATTAGTCCCTCTAGCTCTTCTAATAGCTTTACCAATGTACGTGGCCCTCTGTCTGAAAATGTGCACAATGTAATCAAAAATCTTGGTGTCTTCTTGGACTCAGTTTTAATAAACAAGTCAGCAGCATTGTGAGGGGCAGCGTTTGTCAGCACAGAACCACTGCTAAATTAAAAGCCTTAAGCTAAAAAAAGATTTTGTATCTTAAGGACCTGCAAACTGTTATCAATACTTTCATTAGCTTGCAGCTGGACTAGTGCAACTCTCTGTATGTAGGGCCGATACAGTCCAACTTTACCAACTACAGCTAGCTCAGAATCCAGCTCCAGGCTCTTAACGAGTACAGGTTATCATCACAATTATTCCTCTCAGTCTCCCACTCACATCTCAAACCTAAAGGTGACAGGGCTTTTTGATTATCCGACCTAGGCTTTGAAACAGCCTTCTTGTTCATTAAATCCTCTCCTACTCTTGGAAAATCAAAGTAAAATTAAAGTCTCTCCCTTTTCCATTGCTTGCAATTCTTTCTAAAGCTGCCCTCATGTCCCCTTTTAGCTCTTTAGAAAAAAAAAAAAGCAAAAACCCTGCTGTTATGTATTGATTGGTTTTACTCTGTTTTCTCTTTTGCTTTTATAATTATATCTCTCTTACAATTAGCCAATGTGCTTTTCCTTGGCTCTCCTGGTAATGTAGTTGTCTTTACTTGTGTTCATGCTTCAGATTCTTGTCACTTACTTTATTAATTTATATGCACTATTACATCTAATTAACTTTGCGTCTTCTCTCCCCTGCAGTTTGTACTTTGTTCTCTCTTTCCTCTCTCTCCCTGCACCTCTCTGCATGTATTTCTGTCTTTGGAGTCGCTTGAGTCTGATCTGCGTCTACTGGTTCCACCAACACGTCCAATGTTTATGTTGTCTTGTTTGTTGTTTGTCTGGTTGTCCCCGCTATCCTTTTTCTTCCTCCCCTTTACCCTCACCCCAACCGGCCGAGGCAGATGGCCGTCCTGCCTTCTGCTGGAGGTCTTCTTCCAGTTGACATAGAGTTCGTCCTCTCCTCTGTCACAAATATGCTGCTCATGGGGAGTCTTTGGATTCATTCTGTTTTCCATGTATAATTTTGTAGGGTCTTAATTTTAATTTTCTAATCAGTCAGCTAATTTGTTTGAGTATATTGTAGGCTCGTAACCTTGACACTAAAGTTAGTTAGGTTAATGTGCACCATATACAATATTCAAGGGTCTTAATCTTAATATTTAAATGAGTGAATTTGCATTATTATTAATATTGAAAGGTCTTTACCATAATATTTAATTCACTTAGATAAATGTGTATTTTATATAATACTATAGTCTTAACCTTAATCTTTAAATGTGTAAATTCTCAATTCCAATCTTATTTTACTGCTAGAAATCACTTTGACTGAATGGCTGTTGTTTTAAACGTGTTAGATAAATGACAGCGACTGTACATGATCTGCTTTAGTGAGATGACTGAAAGAAATGTATGACAAATTATCATTATGCTCTGTTATTATGTCCACATGGCCATGTATCTGTGAACTGGCACATAATACTCTATGCACATACAATATGTCTTTTTAAGGCTTTTGTGTGATCTGTAACCCTTCTCTCTAAGGGAACTGACTATCTATTCTGTGACAGAAATGCACCAAGGTCTCTGATTGGCACATTTTAAATCCCTCTCTGAGTCATTGGGAGGCCACCAACTGGTGTGTATGTGTGTGTGTGGGTGAAGATGCATGTTTGTAAATGCCACAGATCCCAAAGGAATTAGGTTGATTTTTGAGGGCTTCCAAGCAGCCCTGGGATCTCACATGCATGCGTGTCCCCTATTTGTTATCTTGCAATCCACATGCTGAGTCTAACTGCGCTGCCAGAGAGCAGTATAGAAGACAAATCCCATGGTTAGAATATCCAGGTTATCCATGATTCACCAATGTTGCTTGAGCATGAGACAGAGAGAGAGAGAGGACTGAAGACACGGATGCAGTAGGAGGATGCTTTGGTGCATGAAGAATGTAGAGGTATCAGAGAATGAGAAATTAAAACACAAAGGTTTGACAAAATGTAAAAAGAGGAGAGGAGATGAGAGGACAGGAGAGGAGGTGAGGATGCTAAAGGTTCAAGAAAGAGAAGAGGAAAAAAAGGAGATCAGCATTCTGAACTCTTTGTCAGAGTAACAGATTAGCTCACTGGGTGAAATGATATATGACTGGCAGCGGGCCTCCTCACATGCACACGTGTGCAATCACACCCCCACTATGGATCAATTACCCTGTCATCCATGTTTGCAACCATACATCATCACCTCGATTACATCTCACACACATACACACACTTGTATGCTGACTCCAGTGTATCCTACACACCACTCAGCTGCACTTTGTTTCACTGACTCTTTGTGTGTGTATTTGTGTGTGTATTTGTGTGTGTGTGCGTGTAGTGTTTTACGACCAGGTTTCTCTACTGCCTGATTTTCTGTGACCTTAATACGTATTACTGTCTATCTTTTTCCCTTGCCACTAGAAGAGAGCACAAACACACACATATACAGCACATGCACAGTGACACACACATGCACACACACACACACACACACAATCACACTGCAGAGCCGGTGGGGCTACTTCCTCAAATGAACTGCTCTGGCCAGAGTGACTGGGTCTGGACAAAGTCATTTGTTGTGAGTAAACTTCTTTGGGCAGCTCAAGTCATTTCAGGCAGTGGAAAACACACACACACACACACACACACACACACGCACACACACCACACACACTCACACACAGAGGCAGAGAGACGGGCCAGTTCGCTCGGCATGGTGTCGATCACCCGTTCGCTCCTGTTGGCATAGTCTACTGGGAAATGCTCCTATAGCTCAGCTCAAGTGACTTCAATTTAATTTGAACTTCTCGCAGCTGAGAGAGGGAGAGAAAGAAGAGAGAGAGAGTGAGAAAATACTGTTTGTCCTTCCTTGACATGACACAAACATTTCTGATTTTCCACTTGTCCAGGAACCAGGGGCCCTAAGAGACATTGCTGACGCATATGGAGTTTTGTGACTGTGTGTGTGTGTGTGTGTGTGTGTGTGTGTTTTATAATTTGTGCTGATACACTGGTCCACGCCTCTTTCTGTTTAACTGCCAGTCCACACTGACAGGACATGACTAATATCATATATCCAGTGCGTCTTGGCGCAGCCCATATGGCCTTCTTCACATTACTGTACAGTATCATTTACGTTCATTGCATGCTCCTCTCTCTCTCTCTCTCTCTCTCTCTCTCTCTCTCTCTCTCTCTCTCTCTCTCTCTCTCTCTGCATGCAGTTGTTTCCTCTTCGGACCGCTAGGGGGCGCTGCTCCACTTCATTGGAGCAGACAGCCGAGCAAGCATACTCTCCATCTTCCAGGCGGACAAGTAGGAGCGCAACAACAGTCTGCGTGACTCCCCAACCGCATCGCACCTCTGTCCCGCCACTGGGCTTTACTTTCTCATCACTTCCTTGAAAGAGGATAAAAAAAAAGAAGGAGATTTTCGGGCGCAAAGCAAAAGTCGATCAGGGTGAATCAAGACTGGGTGTTTCCTCCCTGTCAGAATGGCTTAATAAGTAAGTTGCTGTGCAAAAACAGGAGGAGAGGAGCGGAACTTTCAGGGAACCTTTTCTTGCACCGGAGTAATCGCAGGAGCTCCAGGTTGGTATTTTCTTTTTTGAAACCCCAGGAAGCCACATCTGCTCTCCAATTTTTTTTTTCTTCTATTTCCCCGGCTGTGGGGGTGGATGGTATGGTATAACTTTTCCGCTCCAGTCGAACCTGAGCGGCCGGTGTGAGAGAGGAGATACGGTGGTGGAGAGGGGGATGCGAGCCTCTCCTCCGTCTCGGATAGCGGAGCGACTATGAGGAGAGAGGTTCACCTGCTGGGCTAACAGAACAAGAACCACACCGCACCAACAGGTATGGCTCACTGGACAGCTTTTACACTTGGGCACAGCAGCCCGGTGCGCGTCATGGTTTTAATGCGCTTTTGGTTGACTGTAAAAAAAAGTGCTGGATCACCAGATACGCACAGGTTATATAGCGTTTAAAAACATTTACGCATGAGAGGGATAAGTCTACACTCCAGCTGATCCATTTTAGTGCATGGAACATTATTGGATTTTATAAAGGCACTAGAGTTATGTGGAAAAAAAAAGATTTCTAATGGTAGCCTGGTCTAGTTCCAGTTTTGTTTAGACGGTTGTTATATTACACCAGAGATAAATGATTGCGGTTTTTTCAGGCGTTGCACAGGCGATAGGGTTCTCTCTCTCTCTGTCGCTCTCTCACACACTCTCTCTCTCCCTCTCTTACACACACACACACACACACACACACACAAAGGGCCACATAGGTAACTGTGCGTATACGGGCATATGGTGCCAGGTTCAGGGCGCTATTTTAGGCAGAGCTGCTGTTTAGCACTTGTCTCGTTTCTTGTTGATGGATTCTGGAACTGTGATGTTTCTGGAGGTGCTAAATGATAAATATGTTGTCGCAGGGGAGAAAAAAAAAATAAAAGGGTGATAAGGAACCTTTATGCTTTCATCCTTCATGACGCACTGTCACTTGTCTCTTATGGAAAAAAAAAAAGTTGCACTCAGTAGTTGGCTTTGCGTGGCAGAAACAGTTTCTGTGCTGCTTTTAGGCCTACGTGTTAAAAAATAGAAGATGCATGCCCTTAATCCAGCTGTGGGCGTCTTCTGCAGAGCACCATGGGTCACCAGATGCTGCTGAATGTGATAATTTCATGTTGACAATAGCAGCACACAGCATCATTTTGGAAGCAGAGTACAGGATGTGAGTTGTTGAAGGTGTTGTTTTTAGTTGTGAATATGTTAAATGGCACTGTTGGAAGTCACAAGTTTACGTTTTTTTAGTGTGTTCTATGGCTGTTTCTGCCCATCATCATGAAATGCAATGGTGTATAAAGCTTTGTGCAGATGCAAGCTGCTTTAATTTAAACAGTACATTTTTGACAGGCTCCTGCTCTATATGTTTCTGTCTCTTACAGCCTATAAGCCATCTGTGAAGAACACAGGGGGGGCTACAATGTAAGGAGAAACTGACAGTGAGACATGACTGACAGGAGGAGAAACATGCAAGGAAGTTTCAGTTGGGTAGTTGGGATTTATGAGGAGATATGAGAATGCATTAAAGGAAAGGAATTTGTGGTCACAGATTGTGTGCTCGGTGGTTCTTAAATGTATTTCCAATGTGGCCACAGCTTCATAATAGGACGTTAACATCACCATATTATTCAATTAACACGTTTGGTTGTCTCATCACAGGTACACAGATGTGTCAGAGAGATGAGATGGTAGGTGTCACTGGAGAGAATGACAGGAAAGCTAGAAAAAAGAGGACAGTACAAGGAGGAATGGAATGAAGGTCAAGTGAGCAGGTGACGACAGTGAAACTGATTTTAAGTAATTTAAAGTAACTAAATTAGATTAAGCAAGTTATATAACCGGAACAATATACAATTTATATAATTGCAAATCTTCTTTTTTTCGTTCTGTTATTTCATTTAGGAAACATTTAGTGACTGCAGGCTCCCTGCTGCAACAGGCGGCACACCAGCTCCAATTTACTTAAATGTGAATTGCCATGCTGAGTGAATCACATTATATCTGCTTCAGTATGAAGCAAAAAATGAAATCACATGAGGATAAGAAGAGATCACGTGGCAAAGAAAACCGATGTGTGTGTGTGTGTGTGTGTGTGTGAGTGCACTTGTACTGAGGACATGTTTGGAAAAGAAAATAGGAGTTTAAGGGTTGGTTTTAGGTTCAAGGTTGTATGAGGTTTAGGTTATGGACAGAAAGGTACTTGATTATTCATGCTGTGGCAGCACAAATGTATAATCACAGTCACATTGTGGGGACTGAACTCCCCTGTGTGGGTCTGCATATGGTAATTTAAATGTGTGTGCTTTCATGTGTCTTTATTAGTGGAAAGATGAGAGTAAACAAGTGAAAGGGAAGTGCAACAAAAGGTCACGGTTGGCGTCTTAACCCCTTTTCCACAGGGACGCCCCAGTGTGTGTTTGCTTTTAGAAAATTAATGGGTGCACATGTAACAACGGTTTTGGGGATAATGCACTGCTTTGCAAACTAGCAGTACTTAAATTTCCTCTTTAGAATTGAAAACACTCACACACACACACACACACACACACACACACACACTCTCTCTCACACACACACACACACACACACACGCAGTATCCGAGCACACCCCTGTCTTGGTTATGGAGATGGAGATGCCTCCAGTCTGCAGTACAAGTTCAAATTAGAGCGTTTTACCCAGATTCCCTATAGCAACATGAACACGAGCACACACATGCACAGTCATGCTCCACATCCCACAACTTTATGTCTCCCTGTGCACCTTTAATACAGACTGTCCCCTTCCCTGTAACTCCCTTACTCACTTGCTTTATCCGTCTATTCCACCAATAAGCCCAGAGCTCCTGTCCAGAAGGAGAGGCGTAGAAAGAAAGATGGGAGGGAAAAAGAGAGAGACAAAGACAAAGAGAGCAACCAGAGGAAATAAAAAAAAGTACAGTATGTGTGCTGTAAGAGGTCATCCGTTTTTCATTTGCCGCCTCCTGTAGCTGTGCGTGATGAGAAGAGAACTGAAGAGAAGAAAGGTTGAGAAGCAGAAATGAGAGAGAAAGAAAGAAATAGAGGGAAAGAAGGGGGAAAAAAAAGAGAAAGCTACAGGGAATAAATAAAAATAAATAAAAAGCATGTGTCCTATAAAAGGGTGTTCTGTATTTCATTGGCCATCTCCAGTAGCTGTGTGTGGTGTGCTGAGGCCCACGGGGGAACGAGTAGCCACTCTAAATGTGTGTAACCCATATAAAGAAATTGTTTCTGGGAGATCGGGCCCCGTAAATTCATTCCTAGCTGCCAGCCCTGTTCTTATCCCACCTCCCAAAGGTGAGCTATAACACCCAAACACATATATTTTTTAGATTCTTTCGCTTTCCACACACACACACACACACACACACACACACACACACACACACACACGCAGAGCATCCTGACGCCGTCCCTCTCCCACGTACGCATCTTTCGGCAGAACCTTACTTTATCTGTATGCGATTTTTTTTGCTCGGGATGCACACAGCCCATATGCACACTCACACACAAATACATTCCTTGGCATAAAATGCACGTTCGCACAAATGCGTACACACATTGCTTTATTCCCAAATGGCTTGTGTGGGACAGTAACGGTGACAGCTACAACAACATCAGTACCTGCTGTGGAACAGAACGGCATCAGAGAGAAACAGCTGCAGATGCTGCGCTCACAGCTCCAGGATAACCTTAGCCTGAACAAACTCCATTACTGCCTCTATTACCCAGGTATACACAGCCCGGGAAAAAGCACTTTGCAGAACCACTGTTTACCCAGCACCTCTCGGCCCCTCGCCGTTTCCCTCGACTACAGAGCAAAGAAGGGGTGAAGAGCAGTGGAAGAGGGGAGAGTTTCAATAGGGGATGGGGGGGGGAACATGAAGCTTATCTTTCCTTGGCTGTTGTTAGTCTCATCCGGGTTAGTGTGCAGCGCAGAAACAATTAGTTGGCGGAATTAGTAGTTAAATGAGGGAAAATGAATTATTAATGAGTTTGTTAGTCAAAATGAATGCCAGCGTTTTTGATAACTGAGTCTTTTGGGTCAGTTGTTGGGCAAAAAGCCTCAAATGTGAGGATTCGCTCGTACTTTGCATGCAGCATCGCCATCAGTGTCTCGGATGCGAAGATTTGTCATTTTATCGGTTATCTGTCATCGCAGCCTGATTATTTGGGGGGATTTTAAGACGTTTTGCGGCCAAGTGATTAACGAGTTCGTCTAAAATTTGCTGAAATAAAGCTGTAAGAATTACCCAGTAATAGTTAATCATTAATTGCTTATGATGTTAATTAATTATAGAAATACCAAATTTCAGCCAGTTACAGCCATATTCATATTACAATGTTTGGGATTTTCCTCCCCCTCCCCGCCTCCTCCCCCTTTACTCTTGAATAGACAAAATGAGCTATTTTAAGACATCATGGTGAACTGAGTGCCATTTCTCATTGCTCCTGACATTTTTTTCTAGCAGAAGATTGAAAAATTTGCTGAAAATAATAAGCAATAGATAATAGATAATGATCGTAGTTCATCGCAGAGACAGACGGACGGACAGGGATGACGAGGGAACACTGTGTGGCAGTGATCCTGTTCTTTGTCTAATCAGGGTTTGTGAGCCGAGCAGTGGTGAGTGTTGTGTGCATGAGTGTTTTTCAAGGCTGTGTATGTGATTGGAGTGCCAGTAATACAATGCTGAATGGCTTGTGCAAAACAGCATAAGTGGATGTGCAGAAGGTTAATAAGGGGGAGAAGTGAGTGTGCGAATCTGTGTGTGAAAAATACGCCGCGAGAACGTTTGTGTGTGTGTGTGTGTGTGTGTGTGTGTTTGCGTCTGACGTGAGTGATGGACTGCCATGTATTTGAGCTGAAAGCCATCCATCACCCTCATCAGCGACTCTGGGGTCCCGTCATTACATGTTTCCCTTCATTTACACTGTTAATAGCCATCTCTCTTGGCCAAACTCTGTTGTCTCTCTGTCAGAGTCCCACCAAGTTAAGCAATCACACCACTGTTTAAAAGCACTTCACTACTTACATGAGTAAGTGAATGCATCGCTGTTTATAACCCTGTGACATTCAGGGCGCGTTCTGTTAGTTCAGGAGTTTGCTCAGTCTGCTGCCGGTTCAGGCTGTTACATTCAGTTTAGTACAGTAGCTCAGTGGACTACTGATCATGATCGACTTAGCACATAATGAATGTTTCTATTAGAGTCTGACCAACACTGGATTTTTGAAATACTGATTTTTAGGTAGTCAAAATTTCTGAT